ACCTCCTGCTGTACGAGGAGCCTGACTTCGGTCTAAACACTCTTTCGGTTTAGGCAACGCATATCTTGTTTACAGCTCGGGAAGTTGATTGCGAGGCGAAGATGCCTCGATGAATGATTGCGATCATTCTGTGTTAGGTTAGCTATGGATTAGATGCGTCCGGCTACAATCAACTGGACGCCGGGGCCGATTTTCTGTTTTCATAATGAGTAGTATATGGATGACTGGACAAAATTTACACAATCGCCTAACACAGAATGATCGTAATGATTCTTCGAAGCTTGCTTGTCTCAAAATCAACTCTCCGAGCTGCAAGCAAGATTCGCGTTGTCTAATCACAATCGGGATTACATGTATAAGAATGACCAGACAAAATATCTTTGGATACGCATACCTGACTAGCGGCAAGGACCGTGAAGTCATATACTGATCATTATAAAACACGGTTCCGAATGGTTTATGCAAAATTTGGTCGAAGTACGATGCGAAACGAAGAAGGTATGATGCGAATTGGTTAAAAGACGATGGATGAACCTGAAACGAGCGTGTGTATACTACCTATAATTACATATGTTGATTAACTTTCCAAATTTCAAGAATAACAATTGGATAATACACCCAGCAAGGACATTTTGATTGGAATAAGACTATCTCTTCTATTAGGAGGAATCTCGTGACAACAGTTGGTCGATTAATTCCAATAAATGTTACATAACCATAATGTAAAACTACAGGTATTTGGCGAGGCCAGCTTAATCATGATACAAAAGCCCCTAGGTGCACCGGAACAGTTAATTCGAGTCCTTATCCTGCCCTATAGGTAGCTCCCTAATGATGGAGAGAAGAGCAATACGTTGCGCTCTAACTCATTGTTTTTTCACGATATGCGTCTTAATCATAATAATCTAGTAATACTTATCAACAATCTCCATTGGCCAAATGAATAAAATCTACTTTGTATATTTGGTAATATTGCTAAAACATTAGACATCTTTTATCCAATGCCTCATAACCGTAGTGTTAATGTTTCGTTTAATGTCCTTTGTGATAGCCAAAAACTAATCTGGTTTAGCGCTTGAGATTGGTCAATCAAATCAAGGAAACGTTTTGATATATATATTTATGCATATATATAGACACAGTACAATAAGTAATGTATGAATGATTCGATACAATTTCCCTGGAAGCGCACTACCCGTTTCACGGATCATGCCGCTC